CCATTTTCCTTAAAGATTTGTAGTCTCGGACACTCTATTTAGAGTCACCATGACTGGCTTTGATGGTAGTGGGCTCGTGTTTTTTGTTTTGTTTTGAATTCTGTACTACAAATAGTTTCTCGCTTTTAATTTTCAGGTTTGGGGGTCACTTACATGGAATTCCCACAGTATTTCTTGAAGTCAAAGAACCAATTCATTCTGGCAAAAACCACCAATGAAGCTGTAGCATTGTATCCAGAAACATCCAATCACAAGTTGGTTTTATACAAATACTAACGTGTACACCCCCTCGTCATATTAGTTGAGGCTCAGATGTGGCCCCTGTTGCCCCTGTCCTATAGCACTGTTATAAATGTCGGGCTGTTAGGAAACTTGTTCTTTCAGTCTAGGACTGCTACACTATACAAGTTAGCATGGACTTGACCTCTTATTTGAAAAAAAGTAATGTATATTACTTATATCAAGGGAGTCTTAAAAATTCATGGAAAAAATGGAACTAAAGGCTAATAGGTCTTTTCCATGAACTTTTATGAAATTCATATAAAACTCAAAACTCACTATGGAGTAATTCTGACTCATAGTGACCATATACATATACAGTCCTTATTTTTTCCCCAATATACTTGAAACATGTACTTTTGATGCATAAAACAAAAAAGGACTTTTTGACACGTTCTCCTAGTTGAACAGTTCATGGTAGAAAGAGCTGGGCTCTGGAGTCCATGGGGAGGGGAGCAGGGGTTCTGAAGCAGGCAGGCCTGGACTGAATCTTGATCCTGGGTTTGAGTGTAACTGTGGGCAAATTGCTTCCCTTAGGCCTCAGGTGCTTCGTCCTGACAGGTGCTTCGTTTGTAACCGCTCCCTGTGAGGATGGCACGCTTTGCACGGTACCTACTGCACACTGCACATTGCCACTCCCTCCCTGTTGGCTTCACTAGTTCCCCCAGCTGCTCTGACAGGAAGAGCCCAGCTGTCATCAGTAATGCACACACACACACACTTAACAATTTTCTTTCTGGCACCGTGGCATAGAAGTCGCCGTGTGTCCTTAGTTGATCCTGACTCACTGTGACCCTATAGGACAGGAAACCACGGATCCACGGGGTTTCCTAAGGGCAGTCAGTCTTACTCAACAGATATTCCCGGGTCTCCATAAGTTGGAATTGACTGGATGGCACATCACACACACACACACACACACACACACACACAAAGACTGGATGGCACATTACACACACACAGCACATTACACACACACACAGACTGGATGGCACATTACACACACACACACAAAGACTGGATGGCACATTACACACACACAGCACATTACACACACACACAGACTGGATGGCACATTACACACACACACACACACACACACACACACACACACACACACACACACACACGGTACAGATCACCAGGACTTTCCTTCACAGAGTTGCTGGGTGTATTTGAACAGTCAGCCTTTCAGTTAGCAGTTGCACGCTTAAACATTGCGTCACCAGGGCTCTGTGTAGTACAGGAGAATGCCCATCTACGTTTGAATCATGTAAACCTGAACTCACCTCCACCACTTACCTGTGAATCCTCACAAGAGCAGTTCCGCGACCTCTGAGTTTTCCCTGAGATGAGCTGGTGTGCCTCATAGTTGTCAGAACATTCACTGTGTATAAGACTGAGTGCTGGCCCACAGGGGGATGCGATAAGCCTCATCATCACTACTCCTAGGCCCCAGAGGGATTCCAAGTGCAAGGGCAGCACACCATTTGCTCACATCCAGGCAAGGTACCCCTGACCTCCATCCACAGAACAAGCCCCCACAGCAGAGTCGGGGAGGGTGGCTGGGACCCAAGCAGAAACAGAACATGGGAATTGTTTCCTGTGGCCACACGGAGCCTCGCTGGGCTGCACTGCAGTGCTGTGGGACACAGGAAGAAAGGGCCAGTGTAGCCCACAGGTGAGGCTGGGCAGCTGAGAATGCTGTTGTCCAGGTAACAACAGGGACAATCTGTGCGGCTCTCGGATTGAGTCAGGCACCCTGAGAATGCCCAGTTCCCTGGGCTCCCAATTGTGCAGACTATTTATCACACACGAGCAGGGCCCGTGCAGAAGACAGGGTGCCCAACACCACTCACTGCTGACAAGCAAGGATGCAAATCACGTGGCTCCAGCCATGCAGCGCTCCGATGTTGTGATTCCAGCTGCGACATAAACCAAGCTAGAAGGCTTGGCCTTTCAAGGAAGAGCTGCTATAAGGGTGCCAGCCACAGATCCTGTTTCCTTTAAAGACCTCGATGCTCAAACCGAAGCTGCACAGTCTGCCAGCACTCAAAAGCAGCTCCAGAAAATGATGGCGTGGTTACACGGTGGGCTGCTAATTGCAAGATCAGCAGTTCGAAGCCACAAGCCGCTCAGCAGGAGAGGTAGGGCTTTTTACCCAGGTAAAGAGTTACCATCTCAGACACCCACGGGGGCAGTCCTACCCTGTCCTAGAGACTCACTAAGAGCTGGAATCCACTCGGTGGCAGTGACTTTTTGGCTTCGGAATAAAAGCCAAGCAACTGCCTTCTAGTGGAGAGCAGACGCCAGGACGTAGTCTCTGGTCTTCATGGAGCTTTGACAAGTCAGCAGTCTGATGGGGGTTCAGGCATGGCTAAGAGAACCGGAGCTCTGCAGTGTCTCCAGACCCGGCTCCACAGAGCACACACACGGCAGTGAAGACAAAGGAAACGTGCTTAGCCAGGGATCACACATGCACTTTATAGAAGTTATCAAACCTCCACACTGGGTCAAGAGTCTCCATGCCTCAAATGGATTTTCAAGGTTCAACACTAGACACTTGTTTTCAGCTTAGGATTTCTTAAGGAACAGAACCCCCATTAATCATGTAAATAAAACCAACCAAAAATGACTCCGAAAGCTGCCCAACCACCCTGAGATGGCAACCTCTGGAAGCCGACCTCGTCAAGGGCTCCAGGTGTAATCGTGATAAGCAAACGTGGATAAAGGGCAGTGGGGACTCAGTTCATTTCAGTACTTCTAGGACCCCCAAGGGAGGACTTTTAACCCAACTCACGAGGAGAGAGTTTGCTGAGGAAATCTGCCATTTGTTGCCCTGCGAGCGTTGGCTGCCAGGAAGACAGTCCCCGAGTCAAATGGTAACAGCAGCAGCTGAACCCTTCTTTCCCACTCATTTTTCTCGCCTTCACATTTATTAACATCTTGGTATGATGCTTCAGATTCTTTTGGGAAAACAGCCGGCTATAAGTATATTTCAATGAATGAGAAAAAACCAGGCAGATCATTGCTATTACTTTAGGGATAGAAAGTATCTGTGCTAGAGGAAAACAACTGTTTCAGAATGAAATAATTTAAGGTAAAATACACCGAGCTTTGACCGTAGCAGGCTTGGACTCACCTTTTCAGAAGCTCCCAATCCCTTGATTTCTTTCTTCTTCTTTTTTTTTTTTTTTTAACAAAAACTTAGAGCAGGCATACCTTCTGAATGTAGTATCTTGGAAAGAGCCCTGGGCCATTCATAAACGGGGCTCAGCTGTGTGCTCTTGGAAGTCACAGCTTTATAGCTTATATTCTTCCCCTCAGCATCAGGGTAAATACTGCTCCTACTCTACAAAACCAATTATTCAGAGGTGCATACAGATTTGCTTTCAGAAACGAAAGTGCAATGTAAATGCAAGATAGTATGAGCATGCACATGCTAGTCCTAAGTGATTCTTTCTCTAGAGTTACGGACTTCTTAACTTCATTCTCTTTTCAAATGCATCATTTCTTTGGGCAACAGTGGGATAGAAGTGGGGAGGCTACATACGTAAACCCTCAGATCCAGGCACCAAACACTGGACGAGAGCATCCATACACAACTAACGTGATTTATAACGGCTTTGGTTTTGTACAGGGAGATGTAGACATCCCTTATCCAAAAGCTGGTGAAAAAGCAAAACAGACAGGAAACTTTTCACAATGGCTGGCGAGCCCATTCCCAGTTCTGGCAAACGGATCCAACGGCACTCGCTCTTCAGTGGGAAGGAGGGAGCGCCCACCCCAAAGCAGCACCAGTGCTCTGCGGTTCTAGCAACCTACCGGACCCACAGTTCACTGAACACTCGAACCTCCCAGTTGACGTTCGTCACAAAAACCCCTTTTGTCAGAACCAGTAGCTTAGAAACCCTTTCTAACCCGAACCACTCACTTCCCTGTGAGCCCAACATGCCAAACATGTTGCTTTCACGATTTACAATCGTGCAGTGGTTTGGCATCTCTCTCAGAAATGAAAAACGGTTTCTTATTTTAAATGACTCCCCAGTATCATAAGCTTCATTCACTGGAAAGGGGTGTGGAGCACAACGGTTCCCGGTGGGCAGGCTCTCACAGTTCTCAGTAACCCCTACATTTGGTGCCGGAGGTACACAAAGCAGCCCAACAGCACCCCCCTTCTAACTACTGCTTCTTAATAACCATGGTTCATCACGCGAAGTCCATGTCATGGAGCCACAGTTGCTGTAAGTGATGTGAAACCTTAGTACCTTATGAACTCCTTCCTTAAAACTTCTGTTTAAAAAAAAAAAAACACAAAGAAAACCAATCCTGGCGAGTTGGAATTCTGTCGGTTTTACTAATGGAATGAAACTGTGTTTCCTAAATTATTAATTCATAACTGCTTAGACAATCTTTACAATGTTACCAAAATTATGTAAGTTGTCTCAGATACTACAAGACGCTTAATTCCTCAAAACCATAAGATAGAGTTGCGGGGAGAAAAGCCTCCCTCTGATTCTCCGAGGGGAGTCCAGTGCTGCCCCCGCTCTGGTGCTGGTGACAGTACAGAGGAGACGCGAGAGGCTCCCCCACGGATTAAATAACGCTGACGCACAGTGAGCATGTCATTCCCTTTGTCTATCTTTCTTTCCATCCCACAGAGGAAGCCTCGCTGGTGCTGGGGAACATCTCCTGACTGCAAGAAAGAAAGAGTCAGCTGCTTAGTTTCAGAGCCCAGGTAGACATGAGTGGGAATTTAATAACTTCATTTTCACTGTTTTGTGGCTACCTTTTATAGATGGCAAATGGACACTGGCTTTCCACTTGCGGTAGGGATTAGTTTCTCTTTACAATACTTTAACATTTAAAAGATAAATCTTAAGTAAATAATAATTTGGCAGCATTCAAGTCATTACAGTCTGAGAAATAACGGCTATCGCCTGACAAATCACGTCTTGAAAGGTGACTTCAAAAGAAACCACAAAAGCGGTCTAGGCAGAAAACACGTGTCACCGCGCTTTCAATGCTGTGATGTTCCAGACACGAGCTCACAAGTGCCTTCTCCCGTAGTAGGTGACTTCCAGAGTTGATTCAGGCAAAAGTAAACATGAAAACCAGCCAATTCCACACCCTCCTGGCCCTCAGATATGCGTGGTACCATAAATGTGTAAAGAAGCTGATGTTTAGTAAGTCACCTGTTTGAAATATAAACGTTTGTTTACTGCCCCATCTTTCTCTACTCATGCCTCACAAAGGCAAACCCACAGGTAGTCCCTGCCCTGTCTGCAGAGCAAGGATCACATATACACGACTCAACTCCTTCAGCAAGAATTCCAGACTGCCAGCCAAGTCTTTCAGTGGTGCCTGACTGTTCCTCCCCGCAGGGCCCACAAGAGAGGCCTCTGGCTCCTCAGGAGGGTGATCTCACAGCATCATTCTTCCGACAGGAGACCGCCGGCAGGTCCTGCAGGCTCACAGGCACGCTGTGCTGATTGAAAACAGAAAGGAAGGGAGGCGGCAAAGCAAAGTCAAGCTTCTCATCGGTGGTGAGCCGTTTCTTCCTCCCAGTGGCCGTTAAGATATGCTCCCTCCTGTATCTCCTGAAGACAAGGCCATACATCCGCAGGTGGTGTCAGACATCATAGTCCGGAGCCTTGCCCTGGGCCTGCCTGAGCCAGGTCTGTAGTGTGACGAATGCTCCCACAGTCACATGAAAGAAGAGCTGCCAGAGGTTGCGCAGTTCATAAAGATACATATTGCAGAGACAGATTAAGCCAAAAGTCAAAAAAGACTTGACATTCCGCCAGCTGGTGTAGTAGACAAGTAAATAACACTGTTCAAAAGATAAAAATGAAAGATGATTAGGGTGACAGGAAAAGAAGCTTGCTCCTGTATATGAGAAGTGGAACAGGCCGGAGTAAAGATGCGAGTGGGGCGGGGATAAGAGAATGTAGATCAGGAAGGACAGCAGTGAAACTGCCACAGCCTGAAAGGGATCTAGATTTTCTCCTTTTACGGATTTCATTTTTCAAAGGAAAATCGTTGTATGTCATATTTAAAAAGGAAGTACAACTCCTTTGCAAACAGACCAGGCAGATTGAACACGATGTCAGGGAACAAGAAACCTTCTCAGTGCTTAAGAGGGAGAGGTAGGTCCCAGCTCTCATTCTCAAGGCCCCCCGCCCCCCATTAAACAAGCTCCCATAAGCTATTCAGAAAAATGGGCTCTTAAAACCTGTGTCTGAATATTAATAACATCAATTAATACTTTCCGATCCCCCCTGAGTGCAAGGAACTATGTGTATTTACTGAGGGTCTGTTACAAGTCAGGCAGAGTTCTGCACTTGTGAGTAACACAGCTAGAGCTCTTGCTTACACTCCAAAGAAGACAGAAAAATTACAAACATACTTAATATATTATTTAGACAAATATAAATCCCTTGTAAAAGATAAAGCAGACAAAAGGGGACAGAGAAAGACACGGAGCCCGATTTTGAGAGAACCCTGGAATTCATCCTCTCCTGGTTCATTTTTCTCCGTCCCACAGTCTGATGTTGCTGAGTGCTGTCGAGCTGCCTCCACCTCATGGAGACTCTGCACAACACGACGAAACCTACTGTCCACATACCCGTATGTTTACGTTGTCACGTGTACCTTTTAATAGAGGCTACACTTCAATAAAGGAGGGGTTTGAACTCTTTGGCTAACTCATTTTTCTCTCCAGAGCCCAGATGAGTGCCTGATATACATTACACGCTCAGCAAAAAAAAACGCTGAATGGTGAGCTAGTTTTTTTAAGAAGAAATCTCATCTTGTATTCAAACAAGCAGCCATCTAAGGCGTCAACCAAGTCCACACGGAAGAAGCACACCAGCTGTGTGATCCAAAGATGACAAGTACAAGATTCAAATATGATGAAGGGAAAAGTATCAGAGCTTAAATTGTGAACACCCGCTTTATGGAAGGCTGGAGAGGGCAGTGGGAGCCCAGAACCCACCTGCAGAGTGTCTAGTCAGATTAAGCCTCTGGCAGATCCCCTCTAGCCACAGACCAAGGTCTGGAAGAGCCTTACTATCAAACATAGATTATAGTAATCCTGATTGGGCTGGATCACACTTGACACTTGGCCAGCTGCCCCGCCTTCTGGACCCAACGTGAACTTGGTCTAGGTGCATGGATGTCTTGCTTGATCCTGGCTTTCTGGATATTGGTGGAAGACTTTTCTTACCTGCTCACTGTGGTATTTTATCTGTAGATTGCTATTGCTTTGTCCTTACCACTTCATTTTGTTTTTGTTCTTTATTGCTTCTGCTGGGTTTAACAGTTGTGAAGCGCAGGAGTGGAAGCACAGAAATGATGCTGATGCTGGGATATGTGCAGGGTGGGCAGGGGCAGGGGAGATGGGGATCCTGAGGGGATTTTGGAAGTAGACAGTAAAGGGGGAGGGTGCACTAGAATGGATATAGACAGCTCATTTAAAGTTGATTTAGTCATGGGGGGCAAGGGAGAGAAAATGTTCTGGAATTGATTGTAGTAATGATTTCACAATTCTTCTTGACAAGACAGAACAATTGAATAGTATGATATGAATTATGTGCCAATAAAACTGGAAAAAGAAGAAGCAACCTCACACCGATAGCATGGCCAGTATAAGAAGGAATTATATGTTAAGTGTGCAGTCTCCATATGGAACTGGAGTCAGGTGTCAGACAAGGAAGAACATGAGGGTAGAGCAACACTGCAGGAAAGAACACCGATAAATTCTGCTAAGCCTGTTCACTTCTTACACAAATTCGAATGTTGTTGTTATTTTTTTGAAAGACCGCTACTCAAGGAGGCAGAGGGAATCAAGATGTTACTGCCGGTCAGGGAGGTTCTCTAAGCAGAGGAGACAAAAAAGCTCCGTGTGTCAGTAAGAAGGAGCTCCGTGAGTGAAACACCAGCAAATACAGCAGCTCTTCTCTCAGCACCCATCCCTCAAAGGCGGGGAAAGGACAGCCAGGGTCTGTTAAGAACTCAACAGTGCTGACCAGCAAGACCAAACTGACCTTCAGCAAACACTCACCCAACAGCAGGACACAGTTACTTATCAAGTGCCAGCGAATTTATGAGTATACCAGGACAAAACACATTCTGGGTCCTAGAACAAAGCTCAACAAATTAAACAAACAAACAACACACAATTGAAATCATACAGAGATTTTGTTAGAAAATCAGTAACAGAAAATCTTTAAACACTTAGATACTAAATAATATACTTCGAAATCATCTATAGGGCAAGGAGGAAGTTTCAAAAGGCAATCAAAAAATACACGTGAGTAAATGAAAATGAAAATACAGCGTAGTGAAATTTGCAGGGCAGAGCTAAAGTTGTGGCAGTTACATCATTTCGTGTCAACTTCAAGTGTAGGGGTGGACTCTAGCCTGTCAAGCAGGTCGCAGCTTGATGGTGCCTCCTTGTGGGTGTGACCTCCTCATAAAAAGGGTCCTGAACCTCCTCCATCCCCCTCAGCTTTCACCTTCCTGTTGATGAGCCAGGCAGCTGAGACCTGCCAGAACTTGGTGGTCCTTCCACCGCCATTGGCTCCATACGACCGTGCACCCACCAGCCGGTGATCTTCCTGCATTCTGTATCATTGCAAGGAGCTGAGTGAGGATGAAGATGGATTTATGGACTAGTATCGGACATTTGGACTTGAGCTGGACTGGGCTGGGGTGTTTTCCTGATATATAATTACTTCTTGATATAAAGTTCTCTCTTACACATATGTGAGTGTCATCGAATTTGTTTCTCTAGTCAACTTGCCTAACACATTCTGGTACCAGGAGTGGGGTACTAGAGAAACAAATCGTGAAGTTGGAGAGTGGATGCTTGTCTGACCTCTGCCTTACAGTAGTCTTTCGTCCTCTTTGGCTAGCCAGAGGTCAGATAGGCCCACACTGTTTACTTGCTTGCTTTCTGGAAAGAATATGGGAAGTTATCTTTTCTTTGGTTGATGTCATTGGTTATTCCTGTTTGAAATGGTGAAAATTAATGTGTAAGTGTAAATTTTGAGCTCGGGGCAAAAGCATCCCTTGAACTTCTCTTCTGAGACCATGCTTCACAGTCAGAATGGCTGACAGAAGGCCTCACTCGGGCTTAAGACAGCCCGAGACATAAGGCTATACTGGATATGAAGGAATAGTTCAGATAACATTGAATTTGACTGTTTCAAGAATATGTTTAGGAGCTGTCTGTACTAGGATGTATTGATTTCTTCTAACTATTGTTTGAGAGAACAGTTGACAGACTGAAGAAAGAAAAAGAAGCCCTTTGGCTTTTAAAATTTTGAACTAGTAGTTTGCTCCTGAAGCTGGAAAAAATTCGGGACAATGAAGAAACTCTCCTCTTCAGGGCTGAACGTTAAAGAGAAGCTGCAGGCAGTCTGAAAAGCTTTCTCGGTGATCGTCTGGACCACTTGTTGAGTGGAAGTGGGAGAACTACAGCAATAGAGAGATGGGTTAAATCTGGCCACTGGCACTTGTTGATCCTGGTTCACAGGGACTAGAGGAGAAGACGAGAGTGGGTTGGTGGTCTGAAGTTCAAAGAGTTGTGCAGAACCTGAGCCTATAGCATGACCTAGCCCAATGGGGGTTAGGATTGTTGAGAATTTGTGACAGGGCCCATGGTCGAAAGACAAGGCGGCTAATGGACACCCTGGTGAGGCTAAGCAAGGCGACCCACATTGAGTCAAACAGAACCCAACCAGATGAAGGTAAGATTTTTGAGCCTGTGAACTGGTGCATGTTGCTGCTAACTTCATGGATGGCCTATCCTGATTTGACTTTGCTTATGGATGCAGACTCACAAGGTTCCAACTGGAACGAAGATTCTTCACATCAAAGAACATGCTGGTCTCCTCAGAGCACTGGGTTGATGTGAGTGGGCAGTATAGATATTGGACACCCAAAATGGGGAGGATAAAGGCATGAAGTGGCTGGCTTACAGACTTTCATGGGATGGGGGAATATTTTGATAGGATTATGGGGTAGGTGTTCACATAACCACTTGTTAGGCAAGAATACTTTTGTTCACTTATAAAATAATATGTTTAAATGAAGCTGGCACATTTTGAGTTGTATGCCTTTTAGTTTTATCCTGTTAGATACAAATATGATTTTACTATTGTCTTTGTTTTAAAAATCATTTAAAAGAGCTGTGTAAAAGTGTCAAGTTGACAAGAGATGGTCTGTGGAATTTACATAATTTTGTGTCAACTTGAAGTGTAGGGGTGGAATCTGGCTTGTCCATCAGTTTATAGCTTGATGGTGCCTCCTTGTGGGTGTGGCCTCCTTATAAGGAGTTGTTCTGGGAACCTCCCCCCTCTCTCTGCTTTCATCCTTCTGCTGGCGAGCCAGGCAGCTGAGACCTGCCAGAACCTGGTGGTGCTTCCACCGGCATTGGATCCACAAGACTCTGCACCCACCGACCTGTGATCTTCCCGCATTCTACATCATTGCATGGAGCTGCGTGAGTCTGAAGAGGGAATTATGGACTTATGGACTTGATCTGGACTGGGCTGGGATGTTTTCCTGATATATAACTACTTCTTGATATAAAGTTCTCTCTTACACATATATACTGAATTAGTTTCTCTAGTCAACCTGGTCTAACACAGTATTGCATAAAATGCAAGCCCTAAAAAAGAAGGAACTCTCAGATCAGCAATTTAGCTCCCACCTCATAAACGTAGAAAAAAGAAAAGCAAACTGAACACAAAACAAGCAGGAGGAAGAAAATAATAAAGGAAAGAGTAGAAATTTGTGAAACTGAAAGTAGAAAAACAATATGAA